TGTCTATATATATCTTGTACTATATATATATATATATATATATATATATATATATATATATATATATATAATTCCGACTGACTGACGAGCAACTGTGATGTGCATCTAAATCTGCTAGGTTCAAAATCGCACATCCATTACCGCGAATAAGACAGTCTCTCACGATTAAACATACAAGAAATAAACCAGCTTTCCGTTTGTAGATGTTTATTACCAAATTTACTTGTTTCTATTTGGCCCAAAAAAATCAGTCGGCTATTACCGGCAACATTCTAGGGTTACCTGGTTTATGCAGGTTAGACACGTTTGACATTGCACTGGTTAAAAGAAGTTGATGCAAAGTCTTGGATAGAATCGAGAACAACATCGAGACTAATGCGGCCGTAAAGATGGCACGAAAAACCTTGATCGAGAGGATAAGCACTGGGAAACTTCTCTGTGCCCGATTCGTGGTTGCCGTTTGCGGGTATAGATGTACTGTATAACGTCGTTCAAGTCAGAAGAATATGTACACTGAACCAAGGAGACATTTGTTCGATCGACAGCCGTTGAAAGAAATTATTCAATGGAGTTTCAATGGGACGGATTCTCCGTTTATGATTTTTGGAAACACGGTGATCGATAATAGATAAAAAATACTTATCGCCTGGTGGTAAACTTAGCGGACTTATACGAAGGATTGTTGATCCAGTTGCACACACGGCAATGGGTCTGCATGAGGTACGTATTGAGTGAAACATATAAAGTGTTGCAGTGAGAAATGCTGAGTCAGAGATGTATGCTAGTCAATGAACCCTGTTTGTTTCAATCAGTTGATAGACAACCACATTTCCTTTTGAATATTTGCGTGGGTTTTCCTAGGTCAGAGGTCTTTTACCTTTGTGTGTAGTTTTTTTTAAGTAGCTAGTAGTGCAGAGTGTCTTTGTGGATAATGAATAAATGAACAAGTGATGCAAGCTGCAAAACTTCCAGTTTGTCTCTTCACTTTCAGTCGTTTACAGTGTTGAGGGTAAAAAAATGTAGTCTCCATACAGCTTCTGTGTTCTTAATAAACGTGGAATTTACTTAAGAATCTTAACTAAATCTTGAAAGCTCTTGATCGAAATTCCATCCCGTCAATGGTTCAATTTGAAAATAATCAAATCTCACACTACCGTTAATCTCTATGCACCTTGGAGGGAAAATAATTCCACAAAATGTCTGGCATTCCCTTTTGAGAAGCTTTCACACCAGGAGCCAGTCATTATATGGCCACGAAATGTGGCTTCTGTGGCTGGAGGATTGATGGTGCCGTTTTCCTTCTAAACGAGAACTAATTAAACGGTTTCTTGGCCGCTCGAAGCCAAATAATTAAGTTTTAAACCATTCTTTTGGAGGTCTTTGAATTCCATGAGTTGAGTATTGATGATGATTTCCAATAAGGATGAAAGAGCTGTACGGTACTCCTGGGCTTTTCAGCATAATCTGCCTCTGTGAAAATACGAAATATTAAGGGAACGTTACCCCATCTCCTCATACAACCATAGATGTCAAAAGACTCAAAAATTATTATGTTCACTTTTCTTGCCAAAGGTTTTCCAATATCCCTTCATATAGGATACATTAAGCCTCACGGAGCCTTCGCGACACAAGTGATGTGAAACGTTTATTCATATTGAGTCTACATTAGTCAATAAAATATTACCTTTATCGCCCTTGCGAGGTTTCCCTCACAACTGTAGATGGGATACCTTATTTCACAACCCACTCTTGGGTATATACATTAGATGGATGCGGTATGCACTCACTCTAAACAAAAAAATTAAATTCTGGTGCATGCATTCGAACCACGCTTCTCCAGGTTGTAACTACAACATATCCATCGTCCGTACTGTAGCCGAAAATACTCTTAATGGCACTTACTATCTGGTCTTTCTTTTATACCATCTCATGGCTTATTTGGAACATGAATTTCCTCTCATCAAGATGAGGCTCAGCATAGTTAATTGGGGAATGTTTACCCTTCTAACGCCTTGCGACCGAGCCATTGCCTTAAATCTGTTAGGTGGACTGCCAACGTTGTGGCTGTTTTTACAATAGCTGGATAGCAGAATATCCCTGAATGCGTTGACGCATACAACGATCTTTTTACCTACGCTTCATTCTTTCCGGTTAACTCTTTTTAAATTGTAAAAAATCGCTGCCCAAACAATCATACAATCATGAACGTGAGTCCAGCTTGTGAGGGCCATTTATGGTTTTCCAAAGCCATGTCAGGGAACCATTACTTCCTCTGGTCTATCCAGGTTTAACATCTTGCATCAATGGATATTGAAATTGCCAATTCATCAGAGCAGCCAATATGCTGTTTTGCTCTTTTTTCTGCTATAGCTCTGTTGGGGAAGCATGATTGGTCTTTTCCACTGAATGGCATGCCACTGAGAAGAGTGCAACAATTGTTGCACTTACACAAGCACAAATGTTCGTTGTTTTCCAGATCCAGGGGCTGTTTAGTTCGTACCTAACATAGTAAGAACACTTTTTCTTCCTATTCTTTATCTAAGCTTCTTGGGCACTGCCTGTACTTTTGCTTCTTTTGTTCGACTAAAAAATGGCAATCTTGTGTTTTCAATCTTTTGTTTACTTGGTCCCATCTCAACAACACAGATTTTGTTAGTGGCTCAAGCTGGATTGAGTGATTCACTACTTGTAAGCACTGCCCTCTTAGGATTAAGGAACACCAATCATTTGCTCTCACCTGATTTAAAGTCACTCCTGATGTGGCCAGACGTGGTTGCCATCTCAGTATCGAGTTTCAGCTGGGTAGTCAGCGAAACAGATACTACGCGGGTTACATGTTTTTAGTTGGAATGCATTTTGCATTTTAACTCACAATATTGCATTTCACACCAGGTATTTGGCAGGTGTGATAATCTTACATAAATTTAATAAGTTTTCGTTGAAGTGGATTTAACATATCCTGGAAAAGAAATGACTTCGGCGAGACGTGGACGCCTTGTTTTGCATTTCTATCTGAGAAACAAGTCTTCAGTATTCCGAGGTCGTTTTGGGCATGTCCTTGAAAGTCAATATGGCCATACAATGTAGTTACGCAATGAACGTATCTTTGAAGTAAACGTAACTAGTGATAATTGGTTGTCGTGAAAAGCAAACTACTTCGCAAATTGATTTTGATATCAAGCTGGTAAGCTTGGTGAGCAGGAGACTGTCCTGAAGATAAATTCTCAGGATACACTATGTTTATCGATGTCATGTGGACAGGGATCAAACTAATTACATTGCTCAAGAATGAATACGTTCATTAGCTAAGACGTTAAAATTCAGATATTTCCAACGTCTACTAATAGAGGGAATAGTAACATCACGCTCGCGCCGAATGTCAAACGTCAGGTGTTCAAATTCTTCGTTTATGGTGAGGTCTCAGCAAGTGAAACTCGAAGTTCATGCCTCTGCTTTCCCTATAGACTGGTCAGAATTAAGCTGCCAGGACAAGGCAGGCAAAATGAACACAGTAACTTTGCCCATTTATTTTTGTGGAACGCTCGTCGTCTCTGTAAATATATGTTGCCATAATTTGCTTCACTGTAACCCCGGTCTGTGTTTGCTCAAATATACTATAAACAGTGATGAATCGGTTCCCTATGAAGTTCGAATGGAGCTTCGACAGTCAACATTCAATAACTGGCCGTGGTCTGACGCCTGGTTAATTCGATTGGTCCGTCAAATGTTTATGGATCTGGGCTTGATTGAACAGTTTCGGATTAGTGTTTCCAGACTTGATACTTGGTTATGCGATATCTATCGTCGATACAACCGAGTTCCGTTCCATAACTATAAACACGCTTTTATGGTCACTCAGATGGTAAGTTTTGGTTTTTTCTTTACTTTCCCACACCTGTTCATTGCATCCACTTATCATCTTGTAGTCATTTGCATGTATGCATTTGGTCAACAAATAGCTAACTGATATTTGCTAGGAAATACATATAATTCTTGTTTATGGAACAGAACGTTTCCTCTTTCATCCTTTTTAACTCAGAGAAAAAATGCTCCTCGAGGAGTTGTTTTTTGAGTTCCGTTTTGTCTCACCAGATTCCATGCACTTCTCTAAGGCACAGCGTTTATTAGTCTGCCGGATTGAAGAAAGCAGACATCGCCAACGATCTTATTTGCGTAGTGATGGAACTGCGAATCACGGTAATGATATTCTCGAGATGTACACTCACGCAAATCTTACTGGGCACCAGTAGCACTCATAACAGTTAATATTGCTCTTGAAGCAATGTCGATTTGGCCCGAGTTGGCAGACAGCATTTCGTTATTATGGACAGCACCAGTACTTTTCGTTACGAAGTTTGTAATTGATGGCTATCAGTTTCACTACCTAGTAGCTGAGGTACTGTGGCGCACTCTTCCAACACAAATGAACATGAAGATCTCGTCCTCTTTCTAACACAGACAGGCTCTCTCAAATGAATTTTATGTTAAGCTGAGACTGCCTCGTGTTTCTCTATACTTGGCGAAATAAACACTTGGTATTTCGGTACGCACTGACGATGCTTGATTTCAGCAGTAGTAGCATTCATGAGTTGATCCTCTGCGTGACGGCGTGGCGAATTATATACGAAATTTGGGAGTGTGACTGTGTCAGGAGAAGATTCTTCGTAATGCAAATGTTGGGCAAGTGAACGGTGGTGGGTTCTATCTCTATGTTCCTTTTAGTATCATCTTCTGCGCTGGTTGGAGCCGAGCTCTGCGTTTTAGTCAATAAAACTTTATCTCATATTATTTTTTGAAAGCATAAGTTGTTTGACGCGGCTTACATGTCCGGAAGACTCATATATGGTTCGTGAAATCTAGGTATTCGAAGTGTTTACCATTGTGAGGTTCACCAATTGAACGAATTTCTACAGGAGCTGAGGTAGACTCTGTTTAAATTACTTTTCATTTTCCTAATAATTTTTCGAATTGACTGAAGTCAATTGACTATCACTCAAGACGAACACCTTACTGACTGCTGTTATGTCCTACCAAAAACCTGAATCTTGAAAACAGTATTCGCATTGTCCTTTTCAATAGGATTTGTTTTAGCCTCGCATGGCTGTAACCGAGGGGATTCTATGCAACTGGAGGTATTATCTACACAAAAGTGGTTAGTGGTAGTAGGCTTACAGTAACCATTAGCGGGTTTATGAATTTAATATACTGCGTTGAACAATTATATAAAGAAGAACATCGTGAGATTTATGTTCGCCTTTCTGGATACATTTTTCTGATACACTTATCTGGACGATAAGTGTCTACAAGAATTAACGGCATTTTTTATAGCAGTGCTAGCAAATAGGTTAAAGAAATAAAATATTATGATTGGAGTTAGTTTTATTTCGCTAAGCTCATGTAAAAAGCAGTCCTGTGACATTTTAAATAGCATGAATTATGTGAAGTTTGGTGTTTGTAGTTCTAGCGGTTTTTTAAACCCAGAAGCTAATTAGTTGCTCATTCAATGCTTTTTTATGGTAGCCTTGTAGGACAAAAGTTCAAGTCGATGTCCGTTGTCCAGCTTGAGTGTTGGAAGTATTGTTTATCTATTCCCTGAAATACCGCATATATTGGGACTGTTCTTCGAACCCATCACGAAGGTGACGTCAACCTAATTATCTATTTTGTTCTAGGCTTATTCGATAATCTGGACGGCGAAGCTGACAGAATATCTAGATAAAGAAGAACAACTTATTCTACTTGCTTCCGCTATTTGTCATGATTTGGATCATCCTGGATTCAACAATGCTTACCAGGTACGTTGAACCAAAATGTCAATCGTTACTTGATACACAAATCTAGTTAGCACAGTTAACGGTGTCATGTTCACATACATCTGGACACATAATTAAGAGAGCTTGTCTTTTTGCACATCAATTGGAAGGGTTTTGAAGTGCTGGCGCTTGCGGAAAGCCCGGACCTCGCCGCAGTGTGACGGTCTGTGCACATTCATAGCGCGTTGAGCTACTTCGGGAGTGTAAAAGTCACGCTCAAAGAACCTCTCTTGCCCGGTTGGTATTTTGATAGCTATCCGCCAAACGCCGTCCTGTCGTCCTCCAGATTGAGGGTTGGAACATTTGTGGTGACTTGATTCTCAGGAATGTTGATAGATCCGGTGATCTTACACCGACTGCCGATGCATTGCGGCCAAGTCTTTGAGCCAGAGTCTTTGGTTGATGACCGCAATTATCCGTCTCTACGGGTCTAAACCTCCTGACTTTATCCTAACTCATGCACATCATTCTCACATTTGACTTTATTCGTAAACCGCGTACATGTTGCACAGCCATTGTGACTGCCACAATCGTTCTTAACTCTTTTCTGACTCATCTGCTGTTGTCATCTATGTAAGCCTTAAGGACTGACAAATCCAGTTGCTGGCCAGTGTTGTTAGCTGCGGTATCCACGCGATCATCATGGCTGTCGACCTTCCAAACCCAGTACTCAATTGCCGTTTTATTCCGATTTGTCACAGAAGCGTTCCCATAAAAATTTATGGAGAGACCCCGAAAGTTGCGATCACTATGAGTATGGTCTTCTGTTTATTCGTTGATGTAAACAAGTGACTCAAAATTTGCATTATCTGACAGTGGGGTCGCAGATGGAAATTGTCTGACTGATTGTTGCAGCTATAGGCCCCGTCGACTAGTCTTTCTCCCATGCCCTATTTTTCTTGTTTCTGTACTAGAGCTTTATTCAAAGTAATTGAATTTGTCGTAAGCAGTGGAGCATGAGATGTCTTCACTGATGTTTCTGGCATTGGTAATAACGACGACATTTGACGTGCATGGATGCGGACCCATGATGTTTGAAGTATATGTTTATTATTCTGTGTTTCAACAACCACGCGCTACCTTCACTATAAATTTGTTAAATGGATGTAAAAGAAGTCTGCTCATTTCGCACTTATGTAGTAACCTTCTCAGCAGCATTACTCTGGATGGATATTTATCGTGTTAAGACCTAGACAGTTGCAATGACATTTCGGTTTACTCTTGATATGACCTAACCAAAAAGGAAGTAAGTTTTGAAAGCTATTAAAGTTTATACAGCGGTGTTCCGAGTGTAGTGCATAACGCTTTGGCCTATATGATGGTAAGCCTTCCACAAAGCTCCACTTTTCCCGAGGCGGTACAGGATAATCATTGTCTCTTAGCATATCTCTGATGTTGCTGACTTTAATAGACCTAAAATCTTCATTGAGCAACACATGTTTGCTTCAGTTACTGTGCGGTGGTTGTTGTAGTGCTAACCTTGGTGATACAAGCGGAAGTCTAAATATCAACAAGAATGGATTGATCTATTGGAAATCTCTTAATAACACTATAATCGCAGAATTTAGAGTAGAGTTTCACAAACGAAGAACAATTCCACCAACATCGTTAAAATTGTGGGGTCGGTTGAAAGGACTGGTGACCGCTGTATAAGATTAGGTATATCCGCCTCTCCAAAAACTACATGGAATGGTCGTTGGCTTGTTCGCTGAGCTGGGCAATTTGGTTGCAAACGTTTCATCACCAATTGAGGTCAAAGGTCATCCCCGGCTACCAGCACGTATATCAACACACACGTAGCACTACTGAGTGCACAACCACTAACCCACCGCTGCGCACAACTACGCACTGATGGTGTCACCTCGATTGGTGATGAAACGTTTGCAACCAAATTGCCCAGCTCAGCGAACAAGCCAACAACCATGTACGCTACCTGAGCCATCGACATTCTCCTCTATAGAAAACTACATGGAATGAACTAATAGGGAGCTACATACCAGCATTAGTAAACACACTAGGAGAGGCACTCCAGTTTTTCAGCTGACTAGGGGACATTATCACAGCCACCATTAAATAAAGAAGCTATCAGTCGCTTGTGAAACAACGACGGTGGGACATGCGCTAGACACACGACATATAGGAACTTGAAAAATATGGAAGGCTTTTAGCGCGACCCACGAAGTATGAATCACGTAAATATGGAAAGCGCTTAACCGTGTGATACCCGTTTTAGGGCTGACAGGCTCTGTGTGCGTTGTTTGGTCTAAAGCGCTGGGAGGTTGAGATGAAAAATGTTCGGTTATAGGATTGACGCGCGCGTTTTTTGGTATTTATTTGGGTCTCCGGCCCTTACACTTTAATGCGCTACTAAAAGCGTGATCTCTTTTCTTCTCAAACGGCCGTTCAGCCGTATCGAAAGCAAGCTCAAGTGATGCCTCTGAATTGTCAACCCTCTTCATATTTGCCTTCAGACTTGCCGAATTATGCAACCCATTTTTGGTGGTGGCCTCCTCCAGGGATTCGCAAAATTTTTTGACCAGATTGACGAGTGTATATAAAAACTCCAAATTTAAATTCCCATGTGTCAGCGAAATCCAAATGGTAAGAAACAGTTGACAGAGCCCTGACTTTTGTCCGGGCTATAATGCCACGCAACATGACATTCAGTATCGTCTCTCACTCTCTCGGTATCGAAAAGTGCCACAGCATGCTGAGTACTCTGGCATGCACCGAGGGTGTTGGTGGGTGACCTAATACAGCTAGATCAAGAGTTGACTGATATTAACAGAGGCAACCAGAGAGGACATACCAATGAACCACGTACTACTGAGATGTGACCTCAATTTCTTATCAGTCGCAGTTGATAATCTCATAACTGCTGCAATCCAGATAGATGGTGATTAGTAACACATAGGTGTAGCCAAAATGAAAGATGAACGAAGCCTAAGCTGATGATTGTTCCTTCACCAAATTGTCTATTAAAACTCTTGAAAGCCAGTTTGCAGTTTTTTTAACCAGCAGACCGATGAGAGTCGTGGTTTCTTGATTACTATCCTTTCGTTTTGCTTGTTGACGACTTTGGCAACTTTCCAGAACGCAAACAATAGGGAAGAGGGAACGGCCGTATTGTGCTGACCATATGATGGCATTTTCTAAACAAGTTAGACGTGTTATTGAAATATCTCGTCTCTGTTTTTATAGATAAACGCCAGCACTGTTCTGGCAATACGGTACAACGATCAAAGTCCCCTGGAGAATCACCACGCCGCAATGGCTTTCGATATTCTAAAGACAGAGGAAGCAAATCCCTTTGATCATCTAGAAGAGGAAACCTACAAAAGAATTAGAGAAGGGATTATAAGGTCAGTTGACAATTGATATCTTTGAATTTTGTAATTTGAAATACTTGGAAGAAATCCTGGTTGTTTGACGCAGATTTCATCGGAGGTCTTTTACTACCTGTCATTTGGGGATTATGCTGGGTGCTTGCCTTCATGAGAGTCAACCGTGCAAATCTGTTCTCAGTCCTACAAAAGAGACATTGAATGTGAATGTGATTTACGTTCCTGTGATGAGTTTTGCCTTTAACCAGGTACTGTGGAAGCCTTTGCGTCCTTTTCGCTTGAGCTTGTGAAATATCCGGAGTTTGCCATGTGTACTGTATGTGTGTGTAATGTACACTTGGTGGGGAGTGCTGCAAATGAGTGATTAAACTGATCTCAGCGCTCCATCAAGGTCCATACACAGTTATTTATAGCGGTTTAATAGTACTGGACTGCTGGTAGTTGGGAAGAAAGAGCAATGGAGGGACCGAACTATATTTGGCGAACTCCATTTCTAGAACATTGTTCCGCCACGCATAATCCACATAATTTGGTTTCGGTTTGTTTTGATGACGCAATACGGCCTTTTACGTTTTCACTGCAATCATTGTTAATTTACTTCGTAATCGGACAATTTCCATAGCATTGATATTTTGCCGTCTTCACAATTTGCGAGGTACTGTTTTGGTCGGTTGGACGTACCTTTACCGACGCCCACAGGTAAGTTGGATACGAAGCTACCTGCTCACGATGCCCAGAAAATCGGCTAGAATTAATATTTGACGTGAACTACTGTTCAAATACTTTGTCTACGTTTCTGTATGTTCACTTCTGTCAGTCGTATTCGGGTCATAACATATACAGTATAGGCGGTAAGTTTACGGATGGCGTGATCGACGCTGGAATCAACGGTCAAGTTGCGGAACAAGCTGGATTGTTTGGTAGACTGTGTAGTGATTAGTGTCCTAATAAAATCCTGCTGTTGCTATATGGGTTTTGAAGTAAAAAGATCGGAGTAACCTGAATTTCCCATTTTTTATACATCCAGGATAATCTCGGAAGCTCGGAAACCGTTCTGAGGATATTTGCTTGATTTTTCCATAAGGCTTCAATGAAGTTTACATTAGGCCGAATTTCACTAGTATTAATTTTACCTCCGGTTGACTTTGGTATATACTTATACGGCATGTCTGAGCTGCAGTGATTTACTCTGATATACGGCGCGCTTTCACTTTCAGGTGCATTTTGGCCACGGATATGTCCAGACATAATGACATTTTGAATCAATTCGTCACGGTGGTTCTTGGTGATCTCGCCACAGCACTAAGCATGGATAAGGAGACGCAGCGTCCCAGATGGGTACTTGAAAAAAACCTTAGGGATCTGACGCTGATGATTATAATGAAAGTTTGTGACATATCCAACGAAGCCCGCCCACTACATGTCTCCGCACAATGGATCAACCGGCTACTTGCAGAGTTTTTTCATCAGGTTTGTGACACCATTTTCAATATATCAACCTGTTTACTTTCGAGTGCTCTCGGAGTTCTTATTGTTTTTTTATCGGTTTCGTCTCCTGATCAAACCCATTTTTCAAATAAATAATGTTTCTCTGTTGAGCTACATAGTGATTTACATCACTTGATTGCATGGTTAGTCGTTATAAGCTACTTTACCCGAGTAAAATTAAACAAAAATTTTGTTGCTATTCCAATAATAGAAGTTTTCGTGAACTCCATGTTTTATCTTAATCAGAATACTTCGAAATTCGTAGGCGAGATTCAGTCATTTTCACACCTATTTGTTTTTTACAAGAGACTCATCTAATACGGTATGTGTTGGAATATCAGTTCGAACTGATTGAACTGACAGTCCAATACATACCGTATCAGATGAGTCTAGCAGAAACTAAATAGGTGTGTAGATGTCTAAAATTACCCTACGAATTTTGTAGAATTCGGATTAAGATAGAACATGGGGTTGACGGAAACTGACAGGCTGCGCCTACCTGATTACCTAGCTCAAAATGAAAGGACCGAGCCGGTAATTGGCTTTCAACAGCTTTCACAAAACTTATTACCAATATTTCTTCAACAAAATATCGCATGAACCGGAACATGAAGCGGGCTTTGTGCAAAGCATTCGGCTAAACAAGAAAATGACTAACGAATGATTCAGCTCAGTGGAGTCTCTCGCAGAAGCATAATAGGTGTTCGGTTGAGTGTAAGTCGCGATGTTCGTGCAGTTTGGGTTCAAGAAGAACATGCGGGCTGCACCTGCCTGATGAACCCAAAGTAGAAAAACGAAACCAGTCGAGAGCTGCCTTAGAATTTTCAGCAATAATGCAAGTAGCTTCCTTCGAAAGATTTTGATTATGCTCCAGTGCATACCGTATTTGGGTCACCTATTTTGAAGGCAGCAGATACTTTTTCACACCATTTGTTTTCCAGCAATTCAGTCCTAAGAAAATTTATAGTTTCGAACTCTCAAAACTGAGTCAGTACTTAAGCTACAGTTACTTACCTCAGCAAAAGACGCTCTTAGTGACTGATTCTGATAGCCTAAATTGTATCATTGTGGATGGGTCCTCGGACGACTACGTGGATACGATGGCTTATGATGACAAATACTGGCATACGTTGCCTTGCATTAGATAATTATCCAATGAAAAGATACACATTTCAAGACAATGTGGCTGTTTCTCCTTCACGGACTTTCTTGCAAGGGAACTGCCTGACAAATAATTACCGAATCGTGTCTTGGTTGTGAATTTTCGTAAATATACTACCTTCGTTATAGAGCCCAACAATTTCTTACTCCGTATTCCTTTGGTGTGTGGATCCCAGATAATAGTTATTTATTTAATTACGTGTTTCATTGCAGTTTTCACACTGGCTTTCGTCACCATATATGTGTCCCTTATGCACATAGTGCACATGCACTCTTCAGAGCCAATCATATGGCCATAAGTCGTGGGCGATCTTATCCAGTTCTGTATAGTCTAACTCTTGTAGACAGTCTCACTCAACACTCCATGCCTACTAGTCCTGCAATGCTTTTGCGGACCACACGGTGTGGTATGTACTGATGAACCCCGTACGTCATGAACGATAAGTAAATGAGGACGGCATTTGTGAAAATCGGGCAGCGAACGCTAATGAATAAAGTGTTGGTGTAAATTGAAGGTTAACTTAAACTAAACGACGGGCAAAATGTCGGTATGGGTCATCCAAATTTACAATCGGGCATCCCACTTGTGATATAAAACCACATACAGAGCAAGTTTATATCCGGAGACTCAAACACATTCCACGAATTCGACATCGTTTTTAACACTCATTAATGACCTCTATAAAGGAAGAAGATGGTCGCTAATAAAGAAGAATCCTTGATGTCCTATTCTGTTGTAAACGCATTTAGCCCTGAGCTTTGGCTAAATAATTACTGCACCTTGTATAAATGAAGAACAAAGAATGAAGCATTTGTAAATTCTCTGAATTATTCGAAAAAACCTGTAAATTTTGCCATTCGCTAGTTGGAGTTTTATTAATGTCTAAATGAAGTTGCCACAACAGCTAATAGTATCACTTAGAGAAGCGCTATATGATTAATGCAGGATCAGACTTGACAGTTTGTTGCGTTGTTTGGCCTGTTTTGGAATTTTTAGACCTCCTTTGTCCGACTGATCGCAATAACACGGTTATAAGTCTGGGTGCTATCAGTAGTTCAACTGTACAAAATAATATATATATATATATATACAAGCTGACAATGAAAAAATTGCTACCATTCCGTCGCAAAGACTACGTGTGTATTTCACTGTCTGTACGTCTTTTCGTCATCACCATCCACCATCAGAAACGGACAAAAAACCCCGTATCCTCTATGATTTTCGCAAAATGTTAACTCATTAGACCACCTAGATGGAACTTCTGGTACAGCTATCCGTTATTTCCAAAGTTTCATAATTGAATTCCTGTTAATGTCATCCTGTCCTGGTGAAACTTTTCCGTGGATCCACACGAAAGTCCGAAGCACTTGACTCGAGCTTCTTTCCTCCTAAAGAGCCGTTTTTGGAATTCCGAAGTGTGCTATTCGAGATGGGGGTGTTACCACAGCTCCATGAACGTATGGTGGGCGCACCGGAAGCATCACGTCTAAATAGGGAAACGTGTTCTTGCTTGAGCAATGTGACTGGTTTTCCCAGTGGCTCAAACGAGGACCCACTGATCGTCCAGGTTTTGTCGATCGATTGACCCGCCTGTTAGGACTTTCCAGCCAGGTAGCTCAAGATGGAAGCTTGAAACTGCGGGAAGACTTTTGATTAGCTGTGGGTGGTAGAGCGATTTGTGGATTTAACATTTACATCACTTAGACATATACCACGTTGTCTGCAGCTAAACCAATCACATTGTCGAGTGTGAACACGCTCGCCTTCTTCTGGGGCGTCCGGTGTGCGGTAATGATAACGCACTCAGCTTGCATGCCAGATGCCCAGAGTTCAAACCTCAGCATGGCCAAGTACATTCGCAGCCGATGGGCTCTCATATAAGTGAAGCTCAAGTCTTCATCTTTCGTGCGGATGGGAGGATTGTTCATGTCAAAATGTTAGACGAGAATTTTTCATGTCCCGCAACCACCTACAACCCAAGTCCAAATACACTTTTTCATGCGAAATACTGGGAGCAAATAAATCGGGCCGCACAGATCTTCTAGTGTTTGTGCATGAGTTAACCGCTGCTGTAATCAAAATATGTTACAGCGAAATCGTTAACGCAGTTTCTCCGCTTGAGTGAGCCGCTGGGGTCAATTTGTTTTAAGTAGCATTTTTTATGTTCTTTCGTTTACGTCGATCTGTGAGTGGTGGTAACCAGCATCCTACGCTCTTCAGACTTCAGATTTACTTTAGTCAGTCTCAAAGCTTGAGTTAGGTAAAATATTGACGCATGAAGATGTGGAAATGAGAGACAGGTACCTCTTATCTAAGTTTAATAGACCAGTGTGGCATTCAGTGCCTTGTTAGCAATCCGGTCGGATGCCGCCAAACGGAGTGTGGTGGAAGCAAACAAATACCACCAATGCTCAAGTCCAATCAGAGGGCGAGTGCATTGAAGTCAAACGGTCATAACTTTAATGTCAGAATTGAGATAGTTCACCATATTTACATCTGACTTAAGGTACTTGTTAATAAACAAGGTCTCGTTTATTGGTGCAATCAGTCGGAAGTAGAGGATGTAGATCACAAGAAGGCGCAAACGCTGGAACATTATATTCAAAAATGGAAGGTTTACGTGGATGGCCTCAATGGCTTGGTTTGCTTATAGCACGGTCTCAGAAGGGTATAATAGGTTTGTGTTGACTGATATAAACACAGTGGCTCATTGCTTATCTGCTGGCCCATTTTTGTGAACATAAATGGGCACTCAGCAAGTTAGCTCGGAGATGGCAGGTTTATTCCGAACAGCACACATCTCCAGAAGAAGTACTATGTTCTTTCAAACAACAAATCCTGTCAATTCGCACTTAATACAGCAAACTACTTATTGCATTTTTTTGCCCATCGTGACGGATATAACTCCATCTTAAAGCTAATCACCTCTTTCACCTGAGGGAGAATTTGGACCCAAAAATCATGGAGCATTGACAGGTGCATTATAAATCACGCTGACATGATACATGATGTCTTTCATAAATGAAGAATGATGGGAATTTCGTTCTTCGTCGCGTGGTTGGTTCTGCAATGTCCCCTTTTAGTTTCACACGATCTATTTACTGCTTAGTTTTATTACAGGCAACTCACGTATCTTTTGCGTCGGCTAGGTACTCATCAGCCTTAAACAGTGATGACAGGTGAACAGAGCTCTGAGAGCTGATTACTCGATCTATTCGTCCCAGATGACTGATAGTAATGTTATGTTCCTTCGGGACATCAAATGGGTTACCATTGTTACTTTGTGTGCATCTTACTCGCGTCTGAACAGCCTAGCCTCTCAATTGCCTGCCACTTACGATTAACATGAGTAACCTCACAAATCTGTATGGTCAGCTGTTTATTATTTGTGTTTCTGTTGACCAAGGCTTATTCCTCGGGCGTTATTTATGGTTCTGTAACTAATACCTGCTTCTTGCGAAAGTGTACCAGAAATGTTAAGGAAATGGGCGGACACCATATCGTTTTCACTTTTGAATACTGTGAAGCAACTTTGTGCTCTCTCTACCTCCAGAGACTCATCTATGGTTGCTGAGTCATTACCTCTGGCTGTCTACTTGGCTTAATCTGTTACACTATCCGTTAAGTTAGGATGTTAACGTGCTAACTGCGGGGAGTACATGCTTCAAATCTTAGTGCAACTGAGCCCATATTAATGCCTGTTTAGCAAGCGAGTAAACTTGTCCCGGTTTGCATCCACATGGGCTTGGTTACACCACGAACTTCCAAGCGAAAGAGTCAGAAACTAGCGGACACCCAGCCTAAGTTGGTGCTCAGTCATGTTTTAAACACGTGCAGCAATCCCACAGATTTCATGTATTATGTCATAACACCGGTAAGAAGGCATTTGGTTGGTCGCTGTGTACCAGATGGCCAATGTGTTCGACCAACCCCGATATAGGGGAGGCCAGCGTAACAAGGTCTTTTCCTGTAAAAATGACATCATAGAAACCGCACTCCTGTTCCATGAGATTTGAGAATCACTGTGAGTTAATCGAAGACTGCTTGTGAGAAACTAGTCTATGGAGCCCTTATGCTAAGCGTGCTACAGTTTGGTGTGCCTACGGTTGACTACGATTACTGCCAAAAATTGTGCGATCAGATTCTTAGACGTTCGACCATATACTACTTTTGTCCCATTGACGGTCATTATGTGGGTGTAGAGGGAACTGACACTAGTTGCGAAATTTACACCCGTATACCGTAGAACCATATACCATTCGCGAGGTTCAGATAAAGTCCTCTAACCAGCGTCTGATAGTGGAATTGTTGGAACAAAGGATTGACTACTTAAGGACACTTTTATACAAAACCTTTCCCGGTTCACCACAGTCGTCCTCTGTGACATGTTTCCCTGGTAGAATGACGAATAAAGCCCCACTGTAGTCCAACTTCCAAAGGTTAAATGCGTACTGTCATATCTAAATTTGAATTCGGATCACTGTAATCTCTTGGCCGAGGGTATCAGACCGCAGCGATGTACTCCTGTTGTTCCTCATTTTGTAAAGCAAACGATATAGGAATGTTCTTCCGTGAAGCCTTTGTAGTCAGCCTGCGCAGCGCCCTTGGTCACTGTCTGCTAGTGGTTTCGGTCTTCTCATTGAATTTTTGATATCGTTTTTCACTTAATCTGCACATTTTTATTTAGAAACACGAAAATATCTGTTGAATTTAACCTTTTTCCTCTGGCAATAAAGATGAAAACAATCAAGTACACAACTTTTCTCTGTATGCAGAGTGATTATGAAAAACTTGCTGGTCTACCGGTTGCACCTTTTATGGACAGAGAAAAAGTAACCAAATCCGCTAGTCAGTGTGGATTTATACGGTTCGTCATTCTTCCCCTATTCGAAGCTCTGGCGAAACTACTTCCCCAGATTCAGGTGAGTTTTCGCAACCGTGACTTTAACTAAAATTCTTGTTTGCTGATGTATATTTTGGATAGCGATGTTTAGAAAACGTGGTATATTTAACAGCTTCCACATTTCACCGTCATACAAATAACCGGTTGAGATGTTTTGCTGTGGGCGACCAAATCCGCAATAACAATTCAACTGTGTTTTTTCCACAAACAGTTGATAGTTGAGCGTTTTTATGCGTATTATTTTAAGGACAATTCTGGCACATAAAATTACTGACGTATAAATCAAGTGGACATAATTATGGTTTGCTTACGTCTGATTCCTGGTGCTTAGCCGGACAGACCAGGAAGTGTCATTATTTTAGTACTAATCTCGGCCCACCGTTGGGAGACAAAAATATGCGCATGTTTATTGGTGCCTTAGACATTAGGACCACGGCTTCACTATGTTACGACTACTGTTTGAGACTTCATTTTATGAATCAAGCCAATGTATGTTGAGATTCCTAGAAGAACCGTACAGCTTCTACAATTTTGTTCATTGTCACACCACTCTCGTTTAAACGGCCGTCCTCCTGTTCTGGAGAAATTATTCCAGTGAGTCCATACCAAAGGGAAGTACTGGACTCGAGTTTCGCTCTTAGTAGAGCGAAACCAACAGTGCAAATCCAATGGCCGTGCCGGGATTTGAACCCCGGACATCTGACATGCGATGCGAGCGTGTAACCACTACTCCACCAACGCACGTTGGACGCATCTGAATTTTCACGTCTGAGCAGGCGAATGTGTCCATACTTGAGCGATGTGATTGGTGTGCCCGACCCATCGAACGACGACTCAGTAACTGTCCTGGTTGTGACGATCAATTGACCCACCAGTCAGGTAGCGTGCTTCCCTTTGATATGGACTCACCGGAATACTTACGCAAGAACAGGAAGACGGCTGTTCAAACAAGAGTGGTGTGACTACGAACAAAATACCTATCCTGAAAAACCCCAATTTTGTCCAAGAATCAGAAGCAGGACGCACCTGATGAATCTCTATAGTGATACGAACCTGCGACCTACTGCCTGGCAGCTAAGGACCACGCGCGTCGGCCACGGACGGCTGATCAACCGACTCCCGCACGGACATAATATGTTGCCCAAGGAGCCAGCAAACATGTGATCACATTTTATGAATTGCTTGTCTTAAGGAGGAGTGGTGCTATGTCCTGCTTCCGTGTGAAATGAATCGCAGCTTTCTGGTACAATTTGAATGGGCTTGGTAAAGTTCATCTTTTCCCTCATTTCACGTTAACAGTGTTATTTTTGGAACGTTATATTTCGGTTAATTGTCCTTGTTACCTGTTTGCTTTTATGCCCACAAAAAGCGCACCCGGGGTTTACTTTTGAATGTAATCTTGGAACGTTTATTACATATATTGCCTTATCGGTTATACACAACCGAGCGTTCTGTTTTGTCAATGTTAAGTAGTTTAGACTCTACACACACATGCACACCCACACATGAGATGTTGGCAGCTGGAGTCAGCGTGCCTGTTGCCTCAAGCATTTTGTCCGTCCTCTGTTGTGTATGAGCGAATAATTACCAAAGCACATACATGACCACCTTCCAGCTTGCCTCACACTTCTATTCAAAATTAAGCCACCTGATCCTTGTGTCATACGTCTACTCGTTTTGCTACATACGTGCGAGCAGACCAAAGGACCGACTCTAAGGTGGCGGGGGTTGTGTAAATTACTTTCTATTTACCCATACGTCGCCTATAACAAGAACAGCTGGAAAATCATAATTACTGAATGCCAGTTCCTCTGACTCACATTCCCATTGGGTATGTTATGCAGTTCAACCTACATTACATTTTGTGTGCACTCCCAAAATTCACAGAGGATTAATCAATTTTATGCGTTTCAGGCTAACGGATGCAGACTGAATGACCTCTTTATAGTGGTTGTTCGGTTGCTTAGGGCACCCAGAAACCTTTACTTCATCATGCTACACAAAATTTCATGTAACATCTTGGTTCTCCTTAGATCTTCTTTGGAGGGCTGTCCATAAAATTGCTCACCACAACGTCCCATCGATCATCTTTTGGTACAACGCATCCAGCGAGTATTCTGCCAACTTTTTCATCACATGCAACTATGATCTCTGCTCTACAACAGTGATCCATCGAGCTATAGCTTCCAGTCACTCTGAACCCGTATAAACGCTTGATTTTGCTGACCGTAATTTGCTGGTTTTCTGAATGACTCAATAAATGAAAAGCAGAATTTGTAAATTATGTTCTAGAAAAATAAGACTTATTGTGGTGTTTCGGGTTAGTTTTCGCCCATGACTGGAAAATTCGTCAATGTCTTTTCTATTTGTATTTGTCTTAAGATCAGTTCTTTCACCGTACACACCTTCTGTCAGATGACGTGTAACTAGACCTTAGCCAAATGACTACTGCAGTACCAATCAAATTTGAGATTGAAGAAACTGTGCTAATTGATAGGAAAGTAAATACAAGTTCATCATTTCGACTATCTGCAGGAACGTTTGCCCACATAAGTCATACTGAAATGTAGGGTGTTTTCGATAATCCACCGCAAATATTAAACATGCATTAGGTCGAAAGGTATGAGCACTAGGCTAATCCAAACGTTAACTTTTACCTTCATTATAGAAATATTCACATGAAGAATTACTTGTAAGTAATGTCGGTACTCAGTAACGGGTTACCGTTCCTAAACCTGTAGGACCGTACTGTAAATTCCGTTGCATGGAATCACATACCAAACGGAACTTTCCTTTCATTGACGTTCTGTTAATCAACAATAGAAAATTCACAAGGCAGTTGTCCCAACAGTGAACGATATCCCAGACCACGACGAGATCGCCCACTTGTACTGAGAATTTGTGCACTGTTCATTGTTATTGGAAGTTTGTGAGAATTGATGTCAACTCTGTGTGCTCAAATATCTGTCGAGTGAACGTTCCAGAAGTAGTCAAGCGTAACATGCCGGCACCGCATAAATTTGATGTGATTCTGATTGGCGGAAATGGAAGAATGTCTCATTGTGATTAAAATTGGATATGCACTTCTGAAAGACGATTAGGTGTCTGCCGAGTTGATATATTGTGATGCGATGTGCTGTGCTGAGTCAGCCTAAGTATTAGGCCCAACCGGGTCGATGTTCCGCTAATTTCCCAAGACCGCCTCTCACAAATCAACAGAAATCGGTAAGTGACACCCGGGAGCCGTCAACCCAAGTGTTAGTGAGCTGGAGAATAATTCAACAGCTCAGCTTAAGTTCACGTATTTCTACCTAGAACGCATTGTTTGTAACCCTCACCAACAATTACTGGCCCACCAAACTTTAAACTGCTGTCGGATTACTCATTGCTCCAGAACACGTCTAGAATTTCATTTGCAACTGTCTGGACGAAGTTTTTTTGCCAAAAATAAACCAGTATCATCTCTCTCAAATATCTGTTTGAGGTCCATTGTTCATTGTGGAACGTTGGTGCATATGATGACCTTGATGTGACACAGTACACTTATGCTTGCTGAAATCCTCCGGTAGCCTACTATATCGGCTTTGTCCTAATTTAGGCGTTATTAGGAGTGCTTAGTTCCCGATTTTCCATCATCCTTATGTTCCACTTGAACACACTTTTGCAAATTAACTCTATGGTAACAGGGCACTCGATTAAATCCCGACTGAATCTCTCTCGTACTACTTTTTCATTCGTATTGCAACGTATGGTCCCTTCTTTCCTCTGAGTAATTAAAACTGTTTCAGGGAAAATACAAGGTGTAGTGTTTGCTAGGAAATCCTCGTTGCCGCCAAACGGTGAGGTCGTGAGTTAGTGCCTTACATCTGATTGTGTCAGGCGTTTTATGCACGTTTCGGACTCACTTGTTGAGTTCTGGATTTTCGTCGAACATAGCCCCATATTCACTGGCATCATGACTAAACATTTCCTCCTATATACTCGTCTGATTCCACGAAGGTTGCTTTCTTTTTCAGGGTTCTTTTGGTTGATTCAATGAGAGTGCAAGAGAAATAGAGAGATCCTCCCTGAAGCTTACGACTGGACATGATGTTGAGGTTTCTGGCTGAATTATTCGATGCTATTGCTGGCATTAGTCTACTCATCAATTTGATGTTGATGGGTACCACCTCATAGTGGGCACGCTTTGATCGTAGCAGCCAGGTTCACCAGTATGGGAATGTGTTTCTTCAAATTTGACATTCTCCAAATCCAAGGCCAAGATGTTTGGCAAAACCCAATATTTGGAATATCTTTCACATGGAAAATGTCTGATGCAGTGGTTTTACGTTGCACAACCCTTTTTGAATAGATAAACTGCTTATCAAACAGCATTCACCCCCTAAAACAGGAGTCATTGTTTACCCTGTAGTGTGTTCTTCAGTAGTACAAATTCGCACGATTCTAGTTCCCTCTCTGCGAGCGATTACTAAAGGTAGATCATTTGCCAGCCGTCAAATAGTTTCATTGGGGAGCGGATTCATGGTATCCCGCGCTATTTCACAGCATTTATGCGAAATTTATTTGTTTGGGCATTCAAAGGATGGCTGTCGAGAGAACGCTCTTCTCCTGGCCTGTTACTGAGCTGGTTGATCGCCAAATGAATAACTCCCTCATACGCCGAATATCGCCCTCGTCGTGGATCATGTTTCCGTGCCTAAGCAAATATCTAGTCCATTCAGGCCAGTGAGATTCACGGCTGGACCTCACGAGCCTCAAACTATTAATATTTCGCTCGTATCAGCGCTCATTCTCGTGTGAGCTTGTGTCCATAATTTTTTTAAGATCCTGCCAAGCTTCTGCTAAGTGGAAAGTAAACTACCCAAATGTAAAATTCACTGCTTACGGCAGATATAAATCAGGTACGTACGCACGGTCACACAAGTTTTCTTGTCCGGGTTTGTATCTGCAAATATTTAGAAGAGAGAATGCATTCCGTTTATCTTTATCACAGTCACATGAGCGTCAGATGTTGAGTAACTGAGCATGTTTAGAAGCAGTCGCTGATATTTTTAACAGCTCTATCGTGAGTTAGTCCAAATAACAGCGATCGATGGATCAGACATGAAAAATCCAAAATAGGTTGAAACATGGAATTATGGCACACAAACTCTACCTTATGTCCAAAAGTCACCCAGTTGTTCCTTAAGGAGCCAGCTCCTTCTCAACATAACGTCAATACATTTTGGGGCTTAGATTACACAGTCAACCTTATCATGCCTTCCCATCTAGTGGCAAGTTCAGTTTTGAGACTTATGCTCTAAATGGTACTAAATGAAAATGACTTGTTGCCGAGCAAGCAATCTGAACAATAGGAAACGGAGAGTTGATCCACTGGTTAGCATAACTTCCCTAGCACTTTCGCGATACGAAAATCCAAAGAAGAAGGTCACGGTGTTATTAAATTACAACTGTAAATATATAAAGCGCACTGACTTAAATCTCCTTGAACTAAATCAAAGCAAACCGTAATCGCCAACTGTGTTTCCGACCGGGAATAGGAACATAAAATGAAGTCAGCTGCACATAGTAAAGTGCGATCATTGAATGCCTTGGCATCAAAATAAAATAAAATAATAAAATAAAAGATAAAAGAGGGTCGACTAGGTGATAAACTGGCGAATCACACCTACCCTTGCGGCTGTGAAATTCAACTTAAAAGTGGGTGGAACAAGGATGACGGATTGTACGCGTGTGTAAACTACCTTGAGCAAGTACGGTAGGTAATAACCTACAGGAAGAATGAACCGCCTGCAAAAAGAAATTCAGATGGTTTGAAATGTAGTAAGTTAGGTAAGATGGTGATCGTCTCGCCGAATTCGACAGTCAAATTACGTATAATTTGTTACCAATCAACGAGGCGTCACAGTCGAGTGAACACGAATTCATTAGCTTATTCTGTCCATGTAGTTATCATGTAGTTATCATTCAGTTCCGTAAAAGTCTCTTCACCTACGATTTGTCTGCCTTCGGTTGAACAGCCATCCCTTGTTTGACTGTCGCAGATCTATCAAAAAATTCCGAGTTGCGTAATGTTGCTGCTACATTTATCTCTTGATTCAGAGTTGAATATTACTAGTCAGTCTTTTTGAATCGAAATCGTTTGCGATTTTGAGTAAGCCAACAGCAGATTCTTATTTTTGGATCCCATTAACCTAGTTATCCCTCTTTTCCGAAATTCTGTTACGACCCAATTTTTCCCTTTTTTGAACGTTATTTTATCAAGGTCGTGAACTCTGGCACATGAAAAATAAAATCCTTATAAGAATACACTCGATATCCCATGTTTTTTTAATGACTATATTACCAATATATTTTTCGCTGCATATTCTCCTCAGTTAAAAAAGTAATGGCAGCCAACTAGGTGTAGAAACCCCCTTGTCTAATGTGTCTATTTAGAAAGCTGTCTGTTGTTTAGCGATCCCATGTTTCCAATGTTTAATACTAGTAATTACTTCAATTCCAAATCTTGGTCTATTCACGCGCTGAGGAATCCTCTTACAGGCCCGGGCGTCAAGATCGCATAAGTCCCGCCCAATAACTGGTCAATGGATCATCTAATCTGAAACCGACGCAATAATTAATTTAGCGTTGTAAGGTCTTCCACTCAATTATAGTGTGGGAGTAGAACTCGTTTTTCTTAAATTCTCTCGCCCACCCAGTCTAACTTCACAATTTGCCCGAACATTTATGCTTTCGCAAAGATTACCAGTTGAATGCTGTATCGATTGCGTCGCCGCAGACGCGGTTTAAACTCACATGTGTATTTGTTTTGAACTGATGTATATATATATATGTATATATATATTCAGTATATATATATATATTGAATATATATACTTTTTTTATCTGATCATAGTGAAATACATATGAAGAGCAATGGTATATGTCAACCGTTGATCCACTCGGCAGATCTGTGGCCAATCAATTTGACCTCAGGTAAACGTGAGGCACGTGGCGCAGCTCCGGTGGTAATTCAGTAGATAGAACGCCTCTCGACTGGTTAGAGAGAGGTCGCGGGTTAGATTCCCTCGATCTTGCCTTGTGTGCTTTAGTCTATAATCGAAATCGGTTCGCCTTCAGATGAACTTTTGTCCAATAATGTTCACACGCTTCAGGTTCCAGGTGTCCGAATACTCGCCCTTCTTTGGTAGTTATCATCATGTATTTACAAGAGACTTGATTTTGGAGTGACGACATAGAGCCTATAGCGGCTCTCTCATTATGAGGCATTAATTGTAGATGGTCGAGTTACAGGGGAAATGTGAACTTACCTAGCACGGAGTGGGGGCAAAATAGTAAAGCAAGAAGGTGGCTTGTGCATAGCCGGTGGGCTTTGAGCAGTATCAAAAGCTTGTTTTTATTTTGACCCCAACGGGAATCGACCCAGCAGTTACGACCAACTGTACAGCAATCGGGCTTTCCTGTATTAGGAAGGGCTGTATCTGAGAATGGTGGATTGCAGGTTGTACACTACAGGATCATACATCCAGACCACCTTGTAACGCAATCTCTTGTAGTTTGGTAACTCGCTGATACTTCCCGGACCTCTCGTGTTGGCTTTTTTGGTATATTAGAAAATTGGGCTCTGACCAGCATATGCCAGCGGTTCCTTGTGGCCATGAACACACCAGTCCGTCTTTGTACACGTGTTTTTGCTGGCCTGTTGACTTACATAATCGGCATTCTTCAGAACCAATCCTTCTTCATTCATATCGGCTCCCTATCGCCAGCGTTCTTCAATCTACATTCCGTCATAATAACTAACTCCTGGGGTTAATATTGGTTTAGGTTTTACGTTTTGCTTTCCCAAATGAATGAGGCAGGACGACGTAAAGATTTTCGAAGTCTACGTGGATGGAGCGCTGCGCTACCAACTGTCAAATTTCTGATATCTTTTCAAGTCCCTTGACCGACTACACTCGGTGATGCAGAAATCCGTTCACTACTCACTGCAAACATAAGTAATGGTATGACGGAAACAGATGTAATTTGTTACGTTGCGTTTTGACTGCAGTGGTTGACGTGCCTGCCATTTAAGGGATGATACGTCGGTTAAGAAGGTAACGCAAACTTCAGGCTTGATAGTATACTAGGTTCCAGTACAACCTTCAGTTTTATTGACCGGTACAGAATGACCAACATTTTTAAATTTATTTTACACATTCGCTGATTAATAACGTTGAAGAAAAAGCTGAATAACATGTGTTTTTTTGTTAACCTTCTTACAGACGGCCGTTGTGCAGCCCGCCATAGAACAACTGAACTACTACACTGAAATGCAGGCCTCCGAGTTGCGAAAAGCTGGTTATGCCAAAGAAGACAATCAGGGAGCAAACTCCGATGGTTAAAAAATTTTTTGAAAGAAATCACGGGGACGGCCTGACGGCATGTGACTTCCTGACTCACATATTCACCCAAACGTCCCTGTTGACATCAACCACAGGGCAATGTTTCTGTGATAGCCCCCCCCCCCAAAATCACAAGAAGGACCATCTCACAGCTCGAATGAAGGAACTTTTAGCTGTTCCGTGTTATTATAAAGGCTCTGAATTAGCACGAGCCAGTTTTCCTACCAGAATTCTGCCTCATTGATTGCTACTTTTCCGCTATATTGTATTTTACTTCAGAAGGGGACTTTATGATCCGTTAATCACCCTGCTCAGTCGTAATTGCAGAGAACTTCATTAACCTAAGCTCACTTAAACTGGAGCAACGTTTTCCATCAAATGGATTTGCAAAATGTTTCTAACTTCAATACTTGTCCGACCTTAATACAAAAGACCATTGTTTTTTATCAAGGAGAAGCGCTGCATTCCCAAAGTGAGTTTGTGATGAATACCTAATGTACGATATTTTCTTTTTTCGACAGTGTAGCACTCGTGTGATTGAAGAGGTTTTCTTCATACAGGGAGCTTTACATATTGTTGCTTTGTACAGGGCTTCAACACAGGAACTGGAGTATAAACTTCACATAATTTGTGTATTCTTAAATCTTTTTATCCATCTTGAGACAGTTTTCATCTATTTTTACAGCAAAAAAAATACAATAAGTTTCAACCAGTCTCTTATTTACCTTTGCGATACTGATGTACCAAGTCTATCAAGTTCGTACTGTCAGTTATCCGAACGAGAACGTTAAATTTTACGGTAGAAACATCACGAGCGTGTTTCCACAGTGTTTAGATAAGTGGCTCGTAGATGCAGACATAAACATATAGGAGTATAACTTTTTCATTAGCATCTACCATCGTCTACTTTTCCACTGTTCCCAAAGGTACCGGGTGGATAGTCCATGTCATTGACTGAGTGATCAGCTCTGCAGAATTCGACTTGAGACGGAAAGCAATCGGCATCCCGACATACCCATCAATACACAACACGCAAACGAGTGGTTACAAATAACATACGATGAACAGGTACCGGTTTAGCTGTGGACCACAATCCACCAGTCGCTGGGTACAAGCTTCTAAGTGATGTATGAGACAGACTGAGTGCTCTTTACTACCACTGGCAGCCCATAATATTCACCGCAGGCATTTACATAGGCTCCTAATAAGTGTTTATCCATTTACCGCTTTTCCTGATCGGAAACCTTACACATACTGAGATGTGGCAAGTTTTGAGTTTCGTCAGTTTGCATTCACATTATCTCGATCATCGATCCCGAACTAGTAGCCTGTAACCTCACTGCAGTATCATATCGATAAGAAATGCATTGTCCTTTTACGCACAGTGAGAAATTACATGCTATCTCACCAATTGCAGCGTATCTTTTTGGGGTGAATTCCCCAACTTACTAACCATTTTATCCTTTGCTTCAATCCTTCACTTGATGAATGAACCTCTATTGAAGGATTAATGGACGTGTGTTTTATTAGAAAGCTGTCGAATTTTCTACAACGTTCATATCGTATCTCAGTAGCCAGCAACTCAAAGAATCTGTTATCAATTCTTCGACTTCGTTGTACTTGAAAATCAAAGTTATTCACAACCTTTTTGAAACTGACTTCTCCAGTGGTGTACCAAACTGACAGGGACTGTTGCCCAATAGTAAGCATTACATATTTACACAAGCCAGTGTGCAATTGATCCAACAACTTCAGATCATCTGGAAAAGTGTTAGCATCTTCTAAAGGGCTTGCTACCTTCAGCTTGAAGTGACAGAATATCCTTCATAATATCGATGTTCAGGGTAATCAAAACATGAAAAACAGTGACTCCATGGCAGGGCAGTTTGAGGCGACGCCTTTGAAACCGGACCGGAAAGAATGATAGCATATTCTGGAGAACACCAGAGGGCCACGAGGAACCAGCTTATCAACACAACGTCAATGAGAATTCCGGAGTCGAACTGTAACACTTTTGTGACCGAAATTTGAAACTTTTGAGGGGAGTGGATTGCCCGGTGGGATCGGAAACCCGAAAATATATGACGGAATCCTGTTCAGTCACATGAGTTTAAACAAGCGCGCTCTGCCTGCAGGAATGCAAGCGTGATTTAGCGAAAACAAACAACACTTGAGACAATACTATTCCTTTGGACGGCTTTTGGTTATTTCGGGACGACAAGTGTACAAGATAGAATAGAGGTGGATTCNNNNCCCGACAGGAATGCAAGCGTGATTTAGCGAAAACAAACAACACTTGAGACAATACTATTCCTTTGGACGGCTTTTGGTTATTTCGGGACGACAAGTGTACAAGATAGAATAGAGGTGGATTCAACGACAATAACTGTGTTGGAATTAACGGATAATACGTTATAAAGTCCTCACTTGCGGGTAACTTCAACAGATGCATTTATATCGGCTTCAAAGATTATACAAAGGATTGCAGCTAGATCGATATCGAGTTCGGAAGAAAGTAACCAAGCCATTTGTGATAGAAAAGTTTGTCTATAACCTAAAGCTTGATGTCTTAAATAATAGCTCGAGGGTAACGGATCCAAATGACCCTGAAAATGTGTTCCTTGTTCAGAATAAAAGTGAATCTCCTTTTCAGTGCTCTTCAACATAGTGGACTGGGTTTTGTTTGTCTCGCATGATGCTCAATCTACACAAGCGAATTGGTGAAATTAGAAATGCCGAAGACATGTAGCTGTCATTCAGTGTTTCCTCTTCCGCGACAGTACTACTTACAGCCATGATTGACGTCGCCTTCAGACCACTGAAACTCGCAATATATGGCGATTTTCATATATACGTTTTTTGAATTGTCTATCACTTGCGATCCTTTTTGATTTTGCGAATAGGTGTTCTATGCCTTAGATATTACGGCTTGCTGATTGTATCCATATCAGAAAAGACTGTCATGTGGTGCAACATCATTCACCCATAGAACCCGTGCTTATTCTTGAAACAGTCAGCCTATGCAGCGACATACTCTGCGTCCATCTAGATGGACACGCCACATTCGTATTCCTCAGGCAATCAGGAAGAGCATATTTGGCCGCTAATCAACATATTGTGATTCCGTTTTGTTGTGACCCTCAACAACGAGTAACAGTAGTACTCGCAGGGTTGAGAAATGCTGGTATATTTTGCCACAAAATGTCATCTTCAGTCTCCTGATGGCAACCGGGCTTATTATAATCATTGTTCTCTTGGGTTGGCAGATCGGAACTGCCACTGACTGTTTGCTTTCGCAGTTGACAGTGAACGTCTCCTTCGCTTTTAGCTCTAATGCAGCAAGTATGAACGTGGGCTCTGAATTACCTGATCAATACATTGTCAGTCCTGCATATTGGTGGTTTCGCCGCCACTGCACACAGCATGAAAATGGGGTCGAAACTACGTTCTCAGAACTGCGTTTTTGCTGATGCTTGATGCACTTGGAGTTTTCCTTTTTTGACCCATCAAATCAGTACGAAACTCATGGCAGAACATATGATGGGATAATCTTGATAGATGAGATCCAGTGAGTGATGTATTGACAAGTTCACAAATGCACTGTGGTCTTACATATCTCCAATAGTGGCGTTTACGGAGTAATAATACTTTGCATCCACCTGATCAAGCTAGCGTAACCAATGGAGTTTGATCAAGTCATCCACCGTAGGCGAGTTATCTCTGAAAACCATTCGACCGATATCTGTATTAATGATTCAATGTTCCAACCAGACTCCAGCAATGCTCTGGAGACCTCAAAAATCACTGAAATGTTTTTGACGCTCGCAGCGCACATCTACCAGATTTCTGACCAGTTTGACAATATGGAGCTCATCGCAGTACTGTAGGCTCGACCCCCGATGGGTGAGCTGCTATCACGCTTATGCCAAAGGTGATGCAGGTTCTCGAAAGCTGCTCCGGTCTTCCCAATCTGGATGGAGATATCAACCTTGGCTAGACCACTGGGACTGAGATAGCTGCCCAGAGAACTAAATTTGTCTACCACCGAAGGATCGGGTCATAGAGCGCCTGCGATGCCACAGCTACCAGGCTGATACCAGGGCAGTTTCAACTCCATTCGCATACCTTTTTTGACATTAGGAATAACTATCGGCGTTGTCCATTCTGAAGGTACTTTATCTTTGCTTCACTAATAATATTTGTCGGATGAATAGCCAGGAGTTCTCCTGCGTTTTTTCGAACAGCTGGATATAGACCGTTCGGTTCTAGTGCCTTCGCACCTTCCATTAAGCACATTTTGTACTTTCTTCTTAAGGTCGATTGGGGCATAAATCCCATTTAGCCTCGTGCATTCTCTCCAGCAGCTGTGTTGCGGGAGGCCAGCGAGGCTGTTTTCTACCCATCCTTCAATATAGCATCTTTGCAAGTGACTTAGTGAGGCGCTATTTCCACTTACCGTTTTACTGACCTTCGCATTTTTTTGCCAGTGGGGCGTATTAATTGGCATAGGACATGGCTGTTTCTAGTGGCGAAGGTCTTATTCAGCTCTTCAAGTTCAAATGCCCACCAAATTTCTCTCTTTTGAAAATTCTTCGACCTTATGAATAATGCATTGCGAATACACATGTATCGTAATATCTCGAATATCGTAACAATTGAAACGTGAGGCGACCTGGTACAGCACAATTGGTTGACTGGAAACTTCAAAAACGAGAGATTCAGCTGGGTTCCAGGTGAGTCTCTCGCAAACCCAAGTTCATTTGCAAGAAACTTCAAAACGAGAGATTCAGCTGGGTTCCAGGTGAGTCTCTCGCAAACCCAAGTTCATTTGCAAAAGAGTGTATTCCGCTCTCTACCTTTTCTTAGACTCTCCACTACTGGCTACACTGGTTCATTGGTTCTGAATAACAGCGCAGCTGACTTAGGCTAACTCCTTGGGACATGGAAATGGCAGACGTACTTAACCAGGAATATAGACGAAAGTTTTATACGGCTTTCTCACAGAACTGCTCAGTGGTTAGAGCGCGTGCTTGACTTCCTTAAGATAACCGCGCCCGAAACGACAAGTCAGATTTCAATCGATATGAGCAAAGAGTGCATTTTCTTACTATGTTTTGGTATCATACAACAGTGCGAAAACTGAGCAACAAGCATAACGGCATTAGTAAAACACCTTTAACCTTGGGTTTTCTTAAGTTTTTGGAAATATTTGTCAAAATGCCTAAATAAGGTTCACACTGTCTATGGTACTTATCAACTGAAATACGTTGGAATACAACTTAGGTCATTCGCAGCGTACCTAATTTCAGTGCATCAGAAAAGTGACTGTCGCTGTTATGTTTGGTCTTACTGTTCAAGAAAATACTGACGTTGCATGACCACCAGACATAGGGACGTATTCGGTATTTTGCGGAGAATACGTCAATAATTTTTCTGTATATCTTTTAGTGTAACATGATGGTACATGGTGCTGAATTATTTAGTAGTATTATATGAACGCACGTTGTTTCTTCAGTGAATCCAAACTTTAGAGATTCGAATGTGTGAAGGAAAGCGGTTGGCTGAGGGAGAATTATATAAGCTAACATCTTATCTTCCTTTGGGAATAAAGCGGAATAAATAATATTAATCGATACTAGGCATGTCTTACTTTGACGGTTCAATTTCTGTTTACGAACAGCTCTGGAACCGTGGCGTTTTCCTCAGTCAA